GGGAGAGGCCAAGTTCACTCTCCTGAGACTTCTTTTCCCTTGCATACAACGTAAACAGGCTGAAGAGCGAAAAGTTAACACACCGAATTGAGTAGACAATACCTAGCCAATTCACTGGCAACCTTGTTATCCTCCTTCAGGATAGGAACCCTAGTGGTGCACGAATTAGAAACAAATGGTTTTTACCCAAGAATTAACCGAAGCGTGAACGGTTGGCAGATGTTCTTTGGGGGTGGGGTCGCCTTTATATTTGACATGACCTTCGGGGGCTTCTGGTGCTCACTGGGGGTGTGTATTTGGGCACACTGAGCTGCCATCCAAGGCTACAACTAAAACGGACACCAAATGGTGAATGATCACAATTTCAACAAATATAAGATTAAACCCAGAAATATTACTCAGTTGATAGTTCACATTCAACGCATAGATGGCGGTCGGCTATTAGTAGTGGTCCAAACTCCATATAACCAAAGGAGAAACTGCGATCATGAGGTAATATGGGCTAGGGAAATTAAGTAAACCTCGCTGCTGAACAGAATAGAAAAAAATATATAAGTCTCGCTATGTGACACACCCTCCAGTATGTTAGCCGAAGACAGTTCCACACGGTACCTAACACCTTGTACTTACTTAAGCATGGGGCAGCCTTAGTATCTTTGTACTTCATAGGGATTTGCTCATGAACTTAAAAGCCAGTCTTGATTTTCCTTATATAGCTTCAGAATATTCGGTAGAGCCGGACTTCATACAGCCGCCCGATAGTTTATTTTCTGGCCTTTTTCATTGTTAGTTTATCATGCTGAACCTTTCAGCAGTTTTGTCACAGTAAAATGATCGGTCAGCGGCACTGTAAAGCGAAAAACCTAACATTTAAAAAATCCGTTGATTAAAGTGACTCCAACTTGTGCGGTTATGAGTCTGCATATAAGAGGAAAAGGACAAAGAGCTACAGCTGAGGTGAAAAGCTACCAAATAATGTAACCATAACGTCAAAAAAATGTTTGCAGACGAATAATGATTACTTGTAATTAGGACGGCATTTCTGAACGAGATATGCTCAATAGTTCTTGGAGGTACACTACAGGGTTCACCCAATCTGAACCGGATAAATTATTTGAAGGAGGATATCAAAAACGGTGTCGTTTCATGGCAACTTACCAACATAATTTAGGCTGTACAAATGGCTTGCAAGTTGACCTTAAGGCCGCAATCGCCATATAGTGCTTCAGGAAAAGGGCGTAATAATTACGATGGTAGAATAATTATCGATTCGGAGATTCACGAGGCAAACTTAATAAGTCCACGTATAAGAGTGACCGTCTTCAGTAAAGTTTGTGATCATTTTTGTGGTGGAATTAAGCTAAGATAAGCACCATGAAATCCCTTGGCGACGGCTCAAAATTACAGAACTCGGCCTATTATGCATTTTTACGAGTTTTAAGCGACCAGTTAGGACCTTATTTTGGGGGTTAGAAAGTTGTTGGCGTGGACTACGGTTACATCAATGGAAGAGGATGAACCAGCTATCTGCGACAATGGATCATATTACTGAAGCGAGATATTCCATATGTCTGATTGGGGAGGAAATTGATTCCAGCGTTAGACGAAAAAAAAACTTCCAAAATGACGCGACACAAGTGCTAGGGGGCTCAAATACACCCAGACTAGGTACACAAGTATAAATGTACTTACAACACAAAAACGCGCTGACGACAGGCATGGAAGGCTTAGGACCTAACAGCTACACCAAAAAATAGGCATCTTTTTTCAAGCGCCTGTAAGGGTATTACAATCAAGCCAAAGACTGGAGAACACAACAAAGCTATATGAGGAAAAGTTGGACTTGAGGCAGAAGTCAGAGCAAATGGTTACTA